GTTCAGAGACAGTTACAGTGAAGCAACTGTTACTTTCTTTTTTGCAATATTTGCAGGATGTATAATTCACCAAAGCACTAAAATTTCTACATGGAGCTACCAAGTAGGCTACTACACGTGCTGGAAAAATTTTTTTAATTTTTTTAATTTATTTTAGAACTGACTTCCCAGTTCTTACCCAAATGCAATATTACTTTGAGAGTTGAGAGATCCGCAGTGCTCACACCAACAGTAACATTTATAGCTAATTGGGGTATGACTGTAAAACTACTGAAATGCTTCCTTTTCTATTATAAAGTTATTAATATTTTAACAGTACTCTTAAGTGTATGTGTCAGGACTATCACTATTCATACCATTGTAGCAGGAAGCTTGTGTGCTTCCTGCATGACAGTAATTGAACAGATGCCGGACTTTGCAAAAAAAAAAAAAGCTTCCTTTAGACTTTGATCAAATAATTTCTTTTCACCGCCTGTCGATGGTGGGAATTTTTTGAATTCCGGCAATTGTGATCAGGGTGCTTTAGGAGATAAGTTGAGTCATTTAAACCTTCAACTAAGGCAAATGTGAAATATTTTGTTGTACTGTATCCTGTATTGCTACTTTCTTTTCTGAAATTGCAGAATGAATCTATTGGAGTCGGGACAAGAATATATGTATGTTCTCTTTATGTATGTATTCAGAAATTCAGTGACTTTAAAAATATAGAGCTCTCATATGAGCACACGCTGATTATCCAGGATAGCTTCTGTGCATATTTCAAACTTCCTATTCAAACAAAGATACAATTTACATTTTCTTTTCCCGGGACTTTTAAACCAAAAGTTGTGGGTTTAAGACCACCTGAGCAATTAAAACTGTCCTATAACAGTGACCTGTCATTCACATTTTTCCAATGTTACCAATCTCTGTGAAATTTGTTGCACCAAACATATCTCATTGGATATCTTCACTGCCTTTTCTGGGATTAGTAATACTTAATCTTGTGCTTCCTATAACAAAGTTTCTGTTCCCATAACTTCACAGAGGCTCTTCCTCCTCTTATTTCAAATACAGCACACAGAAAAAGTGACTATTTTTGCCATCACAATAGTACTATCCCTGCACTTATAATAAGTCTACACTTCATTGACTGACTTGATAAATACACTTTATCCCATACCTAAATACTTAAATATGATTTTTTTTTTCTCTTTTTTTCTGCACACATTGATTTGTTGGCTAAGTATTATTTTTTTAGCTGTTTTTTTGTTCTCCTGCTTCTGATTATTGTAGCTCCACATTTCATGCTGCTTCCTATGAATTCTTTGAGCAGTGGAATATGGTTTAATGACTGCCCCATTTGAAAATCTAAATATATTGACATTCTGTGTCTAGTTCCATTTTCTAGGCAGTATAAACTGGACTGGTACACTCTCCTCAATTCTTGCAGTCTGGGGAATAAACATCTGTGTAATTCTGCTGGGACACATGTGCATAGGTCAGGGGAAGAGCAGTAGATATTCTCTGTTTTCATGACAGCTGTTTAAGCTATGATAACATCCTTAAATGTCAAAACACCTATTGAAGCTATCGTAGCACTCAAATGTCTTCAAAACAATTCTGATAATCTTTTTTAAATATCAGCAAAATACATTTTTCTCTAACTGTATTTTGGGAATGGCTCATTAAATGCCAATGCGTACCTGTTAAGAGGATATACTAGAAATACTGCCATGGAATCATATTCACAGAATCTATATCCTAAGCAAAACAATTAATGCTTGGTGTACCTTTAGGTTTGATTAGACTGATCACTGCAAAAAAAAAAATCAGTTCCAAATAATAATGAAAATTTCCAAATTTTCAGGTAAAGCTGTTTATAATTTGTTGCTAAAGCAGGTCATTTGCAAAATCAAATCACAAGCATCAAGTTTAAGAAAAAATATGGCTGGGTCTGACTCACAGACAGAAAATCTGTGACCTTTGAAGTCTTCAATTACTTCCTAGAACCTGAATTTTCACCTCCGAATTTCTTTACTGAGCTTACTAAAGAACTTAGAGCAATCCCTCAGCTAAAGGTCACAGTGTTGTGTGGTGTTATCTGGGGTTTTATTATTTCCTCATAAACTATGACATTTATAAAATGTCAGCATCTGAAGAAATCAGGGCTATATGAACAAGGAGGAAGAGTTAAAAAAAAACAAACAAACCACAAACTGTTTACTTTAGCAATTCCATCAGTGATGGTTCAGAGCTATGAATGTAATCACAACAAATATTGTTTATGGGTATTAATTGTTGCCCTGGGTTGACCTGCACGTTGGGACACTTAAGAATGAAAATTGTCATATACTTTTTTTAGAGTGATTGTGCCATGTTCAGTGATTGCAGAAAGCTCGTTCTTGTCAGAACTAACAATACATTCCTCTTCCTAGTCCTAGCCTGGGGTGACCCACACCCAGATAACTCATTCTGGTGCCAGGGTTTTGAGAAAACTAGATCTTTCCCATACTCAGAAAACCCAGAGATTATTCTGGGGAGGAAGAATGGTAGTCATACTGACAGTCTAAGGCAGTGGAAGGTAGTACCTTAGGTGACAGAAAGGGACACCAGAGGAGCAAGAGTAAACAACATCCCTGACTGAAAGAAGCTGCTTGCTCTTGCTTCCTGCTGTCACCTGTTTCTCTTGTTGCTTTCTCACCCTGCTGCCCCTTCAGGCTTGATTGCCCATTGACCCTCCCTCTGAAATGACAATTGATGTTTCTGTGAGGTGAAACAAAATTCTTGTGTTTTCTAATCTCTATGAAGTGCTAACACACTCTCACACCAGTGAGGCGTGGGGTGCTTGAGACCACCAGTATAAAGCAATGGAAGTCCTCTGCCTTCAGTTTTATGCATTGTTTTGATGTTTGTTTGTTTGTTTGTTTTAATTTATAGCAAGATGGAGATCAGCTCAGGTGATCAGTCTGTAACTGTTTTTCCAACTTATTAATTTACACTAATCCTTCATTCCCCATCCTCTACACCCTGATAAATACTTACTGAAATCAGAGGGATAGAGTAAAAAACATCACTATCTTTCTTTTTAACTTTTATAATCAGTGTTTAGTCACTGCAGTGAGTCACACGGGGAAAGGAACAGCAGTTGTTATATCCATGCTCCTTATTTCTAGATTCTAGATACATGTGCTGTCTGCATACCTGGGGCAAGGCAGGAGGATAAAAGGTTTTGGTTAGAACCAGGCAGAGACCTCAGCACAGCTGAGGGGGACTCCTGACAAGAAAGATTTCCATCTCCTTCAAACTTCCCATTTTCTTGTTTTTCTACTGGAGTTACAAGTGAAATCCAGCAACCCTACTGTGAGAGCAGGTACATACCTTCCCTCGGGTGTGTTTCAAGTCAGGCAGGAGGAGAGACCATTCATGGGCACCTGATTGAAATTTGTGAGAGATTTGTAATCTCACTGAGAATAAAGAGTTTCTAGTAGCCTTTACCAGAGGCAGAAGCTGATTAGAAATTAAGAGATAGAGAAAAAAACCAAAAGTGGAAAAGGGACAAAAAGGTAGCTGGTAGTAGGGTTGGAGAAGTAAATTGAAAAGCAGAGAAGTGAAAGTAGGGGATTACAGGTATCCTGTGGGGCACTTGTGAAAACTGCCTGACAATGATTCAACTGGTAGAGATGTGGTAGTCAAAACAAACAAACAAACCAAACAAAAACCCCCAAACAACAAAACAAAACAGGGTTAGGCTTGCCCAGAGCATCTGAAGTCCATTGGCATGGGGGCTTCTGGTGGCCTTGGGAAATAGACCTCCATTGTGACAAGGACCCAGTTCTCACAAAATGAGAGAGTTAATCAGGGGTTAATGTCACAATATATAATAAATGTATGTTTGTGAACTGTCTTCCATGGTGTCTGCTAAGCACACTAGTTCTTTTAATATTACAGCGTTATCACTGTATCCATGAACTGATAAGACAACTTCACCTGCAGAGGAAGCAGATCCTGAAAGGAGTAACTTGGATTTTGAAAGGAACGTTGATTGTCAACCATTTCCTTACATCAGTGGATGTGTGTAGGAGAAGAAATAACTCTTTGGTTTCAATACAATAACAATGTTTAGAAATGTTTTCAATAGAAAAAGTGTGATCATTAAACATGGTGGAAATATTTCAGTATTTATTACTTGTATCTGTACTGGGAAAGGACCAAAAGTCTACTCTCAGCCTTTTTGATAGTGGTTGTGCTATTATTGAACTTTCATTTTATAAATCCTCTTTACATAGGGTCCAAAGTCACATATAATATATATATATATATGATAAAGTGATGATTTTGTGTTGTATAATTGATACTATACATCACATAGTGCTGTTTTTGCTCTCTACTTCAGAACTTTTAAAACTGGAAAATAACATAATATTCAGCAAGTCATGATACTTTGAAAACATAACTTATATCACTAGGTTTAAAGATTCATGGCTTGATTTCATAAGTCACACTAAAAAGATTGGTTCACTGAGTCAGTCCTTGTCAAATGTCCTTTGCACTAAAAGTAAAAAGTTAGAAAAATAAACCCTTCATGGCCTCAGAAAGAAATGAATTGATATCAGTTCTGTGCCTCCAGCTATACTGTCCCTTCATACCTGGGAAGGAAGTCAGTACACCTGCCCTCTGTCAGCACTTGTTCATTTATATCCCATGTGAGCTGAATACTCATAAGCACAGTCTTCTACTGCCACAACTGTCCTGATGCAAGAATAGAAGCTTTTTTGAAATCTGTTTGTCCAGCTTCTTTAAAAATACAAATAATTTTTAGCAGCTCCCCCTTTGGCAAGTGCACTGAAATAATTCACTCTTCCTTTCATTCATCTCAAGGCTGCTGGAATCTGCTGGAGAGAGAAAACCCTCCCAGATAAACACAATGTCACAGAAATGCTACAAAAAAAAGAAAAGGTAGTTTATGCTATGTTCATTCTTATTACTTCAATCCATGTTATGTTTTGTGGTTTTTTAAGACAAGGAACACATCCTATAATGAAGAATGTGAAAGTCAGTATAATAAGATAATCGTCTTCTCATGAAAGAAAAACCAAATACTGCTTGGCTGAATACCAGGATGCAACTAAGAAGATGAAACATAGAGTTTTTATAAGGTAAATCTCCATGAAGTTAGAAGATTTAGATAAGATGCAACTTTGGGAGACTTTGGGAAAGGAAGTAGTAGTTGGCAGCCTCCTGAACACTTTGTTAGATTCACTTTCTCCCATAACATCATAAGCATGATATGATTAAAGAAAATGAAAACTGAAGTTTGACTTTAGACAATGTGGAAAAAGAGGACCTGTATGAAAAGTTTGCTGCTTTGATTCTTACTGCTCTGTTTGGAACCTTTTATGCAGTCCTGGACTTCCCCCTGCCTTCCCCAAAAGTAATTTGGGAATATTTATTTGATTTTCATTTAGCAAGGACACAACCATCCATATACCTGTTTGCCTCTTGTTTTCCAGGCTGGTACTTGAATCATCCTGAGTGCCTTGCAGCTATGAAGGACTATTACCACAAGCTCAGAAGTGATGCAGAGACAGTCAGTCCAGATCAAGGTAATAATGGACCTGAATTCTCTTTCTCTCCCCTCTCCTGCCTCATTGTTCCTTGTAGCTCACCCCAAACCTGTGCTTCTGTTTTCTGGGTGTAGCCTCTGTGACCACAGCCTTGGATTTATAAAACTGTTTTCAACTTTTTTTTGCTGTTATATCAATTATTCATTATTATATTATTCATTTTATTGTTGATGTTGTTATATCAACTATTAATATTATCATAGAAATTATTTCAAATATGCATACCTGTTTTTCTTTTTCAAACTTCTGTAATAGAGACAAATAGAGTGCTTCTTTGAGACAAAGAAATCCCTCTTGACACCCTTTCTTATCTGTAACCCCATGCTGACCTCCAGCACACTTAAGCCTGTAAAGGACAAATAACAGCAGAGCACTGACCATTGTCCCCACAGCAAGGGAAAAGTAAACAGCTGCAGCAAAACTTCAAACCCAGTGACCTATTGTGAATTCAAGTGAAATTGTTTTAGAACTTACGATCCCTCTGTCCTTAGGTGTTGAGAGAGAGATGCCTTTGATATATAGCACTGATAAGAGGCTTATTCCATTAAGCTGTAGTGATTCTGGCTTTCATGCATCATTTGACAGAGAAAATGAGAATTTGCAGAAATAATAGCTAATGTAAAGTATACCAGGTCGCAATGCAGTTAGACAGGTAGGAAATAAAGTTAATGCATTAGGTTATAGAGTGGTTTGCACATTTTACTGTATAAGCACGAAAGAGATCTCTAAGGGTTGTTTTTTTCCATACCAAATTTAAAAACTGCTAAGAATGTTGGCTTTGGAGGAGGCTTTATCCTCTTAACAGAGAGTAGGATTTCAGTTTCAAATAAGTATTCTTACACGAGTCATAAAGGCTAAATTAAAATTGGTTAAAGAAAAGGAAAGCTCTAAGCAGAAACATGAGGAAAATAAAATGGTAGTCGACTCAAGTAAGAGTTTTACTAGTTCCATAGCCTGCAAAATATCTTCAGACATACACACAGACACCACCTTAATGCTTAAGTAATGCTTGTGTGACATTTTTTCGGGGCTATTTCAAGAGCTTGTCAAACTAGTTCTCACTCTGCTTGCTGAAGTTCACACTGAAGGGGGATTTCTTCACCATACGTTTCTACTTATGAGAGGATGGGAGGAAAGCATTGCATACATCAAGAAAGGCCATGCAATTGCATTTTAATTAATGCCTTTGATACCCAAGAATAGATTGGTAATTGTTAAATCATTTGTTGCACAGCGTGCTGTGAAAGTGACTTGCAGTGGGAAAATATTTCACAGCCTATTAAAATTTCCAAGATTTTTGGACACATCATAAGCTCTGAGGTGATAGATATTTCATTCCTGCTGCACTTTAATACATCTATAATTTGATGGCCCTTGTGAGCAATAATCTGAATTGCCTATCAGAAGAACCATTTACTATTATTCACAAAAAAGGGAATAAATAACTTAGGATATAACAATTTCTATAAGGAAATAGTGACTATGCCAACTTCTATAATGAAGGAAAACATAAGCACTATCTTAAATCATGGACTTTGCATAGCTGTGCATAAGAAGTTGGGTGTTTTGTGTTAGAAATTTGATTATTTGCCACACTTCAGAAACAAGGTATGGAGAAAAGGAGGGACAAAACCGCATTCCTTCATACAATGCTCTTAGAGGCAATTTGGCTTAACAGGATTTATGAACATGATGCCTCAATTATTTTTACTGGTGCTGACAGTCTCCTGGAAACTTTACCCACTATCAAAATGTTTCAACTGCACCAATAAACAATCAGAGCCTTTTAAATTGATTTGAAAATTATCTTTTCCCCTCTGCAACCCTAAAATAGAAGATGAAAAGGAGGAAAAAACCTGGAGTGTGTATGTATTGGTTCAGTAACTGAAGCAATACCCTGGGATGTGTGGAGCTCAGGTTCCTTCCGTTGGTGTTTGTTTTGGAGTGAAAAGTTCTTTCCTAAGACCGTGGAGACAGCACCAAAACAGACACATTAAGCAACTCTCCTACATGCATAGGCAAAGTGAACAGACAGTTCACAGCTTTTTTCATCAAAATTTAGAGAGAGAAGCTTCCAATTGATTCTTATCCTTGTCACATATGAAGCAATATAATACTTTATTACTTCCATAAGATTTTATATACCTCAATCCTAACCATAAAGAATAAACATGCTAAAATGTTGTCAGGTTTTCCAAAGGTCTTTGTTTAGAATGACCTGCTTAACTTTTATCTTAGCACACACTAGTGTTTCAGATCTCAGTTCTCCATCCCCCTTCTCACCACCACTGTATGTTGTATTTCAGATAGGAATGCAAAATCTGAAAATGTTTCATTGCTTGCAAACTAAGGAAGAAACTTGCAAGTGGTCACAGAGTTCTGGGCTTGGAGCATTTCCTTTTTAGATTACTTGGTCCTCTGAGGATAGCAGAGAATGTTGGCTCTTTATTCCTTTGAATGCTTTTGAGTATGAGAGAAATGCATAATAAAATACTGTTCCAAAACCTGGTAACTCTGTATGCAGTATTACTAATTTTACTTTCTACTGCTTTTGTTGCAGAGTGTAGCTTCCCTTTTGATGCAACATATATGCTATTCCCATTTTATGACAAAAAACTATTACAGTTGAAGACTATGATTCTATTTATATATGACAGACCAAGTTGCAGAAAGGTTCTGCAAAACTGATTTAAAAACCCATGTAAAAATAATATAGGAGCTCAAGGTATGGTAGCAAATGGAAGAACATTAGAACTCAGTGAAAAAAAGATTGTGCATGTCTAAATACTTCTTTCTGGAATTGCCTTGAGGCAATTTTCAACTAATTTTTTTTTCAGCTACTACATTGTTTGGTGAAGCAGAAATCAGTAGGAGAAACAGGGAGAGTATAACTGAAGAAGAATGCAATTTATCCCCAAAGTAATAGGTTTTTACCACTTTGTATACTAATTTTAGAACATTGTAGACATTATGGCTTTCCTAGGTCAGCTACATATATCAAATATGTTGTAATAAATTTTTCATATCTTCCAATTTCTGTACCTCATGTATTTTCCTAGTAGCCATTGTAATTTTGTCTTTCAAGCATAACAATGTGATGCAGTACTGTGATGAAAAAGTTCTGAGTATTTGACAAGGAAATAACAGTTCAACTTTATGTTTGAAAACCAGATATTTTTAGTGACTGAAGTAATCTTATCTTCTGCTTTTCTGTGTATTGTCTTCAGGACAAAAGTTTTCGTTTAAGGAGTCTACGTTGCTATTTATCTTGATTTCACAAGTTTTTTTCTATGTTTTGTGGTGCTGAAGTGTATCTGTTTTTCAGGACTGTGATTATTTGATATTTGGTTTGCTTTAGAAGCAGAGAACTCAAGACAATTATAGAGCATATAAACATCATCTTTCCTTCCAAAGGCATTGAATCTGTCTTCTAGACACAGAGTGATTTTTTGCAGTTACATGTCTTGTGCTTGAGAAAGCTGTGGATTAAACCCACTTCATTTGTTTACAAATGACATGAACTAACCACACTTTCGTAATACACAATTCCTGTGATGTGAATTCCAATCCATTCAAGAGGATCCCACGAAACAGTGTTCTAGGAGCCTTCTTCATTGCAAATACTATGACGTAAAGAGAAGTGTATCTTATCCTTCATTTCCAAATCCAGTCTGAGAAATGATCAAAGAGTTGAAAAATATCTCATTATATTAGGTACAATGTACTGTGGTAAGTGTCTTGATAAAGTTTCAGTCTATCTACTCTGGTATCCTTAATGAATAGAAAACTGCACTTTATTTAAGCTTTGTAGAAGTGATTTCAAAAATTTAGTTCCTTAACTCAGCAATTATTTTGAACGGGTTAAGTTTATTGGTAAACACTCCAAAAGTTCTTTGCTTTTCTCCTCCTGTTTAAAGTACTACAAAAATATGTAGTGAAAGGACTATGACACATTCTAAATCCTCTCAGAATTTGTTTTCCCACAAAACTACTTTTTAATGGATTGCTGACGTAAAAGTAATGTTTGTTTAGGTGCCGGACTAAAATGACAATTTTTTTCTTCTACAGGAACATAAAAACTTTACAGTGGAGTGTTTTTGCCCTGATCTGTTCTAGGGAATAAGAATGCAAACTCTGCTGTAAACCAGACAATTTTTCAATACAACCTGAACTGGTACTACTAGCCAGTTTTGTGGAGACTGATACCACATGGATTTTAGGACTACTTTGTGACATGAGCTGAGTATTGGCCAGTGATAAAAGTGAATATGCTCATTTTCCACTACAATACCTCCCCGATATTATTAGTGGTGTTACACTACCATCTAGAGGCCCAGCTAAGATTAAGCTGCTACACCTACAGAACAGTTATTAGTTCTCCTTTGAACTAATACATACTTTGAACTAGTTATGTATAACCACAGTACAACTTCTGGAGCATTTCAGCAAAGCTTTTCCATACCAGTGAAAACTGTTGTCTCTACTGTGTAACCTGAATATTTTCTGGCATACAAGTCCCAGAAGAGCAAATCCTGTTCATACTTATCCTTCAGTCAGTTATGATTAATATGATCATTTCAGTACATGCTTGTGTTTAGCCTAATGGAGGATTTAAGATACAGTGCATAATCTTGTATCCCCTTGAAACGTAAAGTCAAATCAAGAGAAAATCTTCTTTCCCAGAATTTCTTAAACAAATTGGCTCAGAAGGCATTTTGGTTTTAAGAAGTTACTGTTTCGAAGGACCTTTTGCATAACCAAAATTTTACGCTTTTAAGGCCCCAGTTCTCCAAGTGTGACAGTGCAGCTGCCTGACAGTGACAAATCTATGACAACTTGTTAAATAATCTTCTAAAGTAATCCTTCTTGACTGTCAGGACTGACAGTCAGTTCCTGGGGATCTAGCAGAGAGGTGAAGAGTTTGCCAGGAAGGGCATAATTTAGGTATTCTCACTCAGGAAAGTGAAGTTGCTTTAAAA